AATCAAAAGAAAGAAGTAAGGGAATTACTACGGCAGTTGTACGTGCGATCCCCTTGTACATGTTTGGGAAACGGAGCTCAGCCACTGCCGGGAGACTCGGGACCTGAGAAGAGATCTTATGGTAGAGTTCGGCGCAAGCATCGATGTTCTCCTCGAAAGGAGTCTCCTCATCGTAGTCGAAGCAGACCTTCGCCCTCTTCGCTGGCTCTGGCTCTGGAGAACCCTCGGCGCGGTCTCCAACTTGTCTCTTTCGAGAATGAGAAGCCTCAGCTCGATCTTGAGAAAGAGCGAGGTCTGACGCCACAGCCGTCGGTGGCTCGAGCTCAGCGGGAGCGTCCTGCGCCCGAGAAGAGTCTTCAATCCTCTTAGTCTTCTTCGAGGACTTTTTCTTCTTCAGTTTTTTCTGACCAGCGTGGTCAGGTGAGTTCGCAGCGAGCGGCGGTTCTTCAGGTTGCTCCCTAACCTCTTCGATAGCATGAACGGGGTTTGGAGTCACGTCGTTCGGCTCCTCTTCGTCGAACAGAGTTGGGATCTCGTCCAGCGAAAGCATCCTGGTAGTTCGAGGTCGTTTAGCCTGCGGTTTTGGTGCTTTGCGTCTTGGAGCAGCTCGGGGCTTGCTAGCTCGAGCTTTTGGCTTCCGCGGTTTCGGTTCTCGGACAGAAGCTGTAATGAAAATATGTCAAGGAGAAATTCGGAATAAACTCATAATAAACCAAAATAAAACTGAACTTAATAGTCGAATCTGCTTTCTTAGCTCGGCGCTGAAGAATCTCTTCCCACACTTCAGGCCAACGACGTTTACCGGCTTCGCTGAAAGCTGTTTCGAATTCAGATGTGAGTCCGGAGTTAAGAATAATGCTCGGGAGATGACGACCTGCAAAGAGGAATCGAAAGAGAATTAGCAAGATACAAAGTCAAAAATCAACTAAGTATACGATCATCTACCGATCGGAATCTTCCACTCCGATTGAGTTGGAATGTCAGAGTTGCTGACGGTGAGATCGTTCATCTCGAGGTAGAAATACTGGGATTTCCAGTCATTGAATTTACGGGGCTTAGCCCCAGTAACAATGTTCTTTCTCGGCTTTGTATTCGCTGCGAAGAACCATTCCTTAGATTTGTGGATGTTGACCGAGAAATGGTCTTCAAACAGCCGACTGGTTGGGATTTCGCCAAGCTCGTCGCATAAGCTAACGAACCCTATGTAGTTCGTTATTGAGGCTGGCATCACCTGCGTGAGAGCTACGCCGCGATGATTGCAGTAGCCAAGTAGACGAGAAGGAATCGGAAGGGTGAGCCCGCACTGAGTGAAATATGTCAGGTAGATGCAAAGGAAACCTTCAGGAACGTCCCATGGTCGATCTCCTCGAGTACGGCTCGAACGGCACCCGGAGAGAAAGAACAAGATGGCACGTTATGAGGACGAACAACTTTTCGCCTCAGAAGTGGCGGCGAAGCATGGTTCACTGCTTCAAGATTATCCTCGGCGACTCCTGCTTCGGTAGCGTCTTCCTCAAGATTTTCTTCTTCAAGTTCCTCGATCTCGTGATCAATACCATCGACGTTCGGCCCAGTTCGAGCTCCCGTTTCGCGAGTCTCTGTAGCCAGTTGTTCGGTAGCCTCAACTTGCGGTCGAGATCAGCTACTGCTCGTGCCGACCGATCTGGAGTTTTTACGGATCAGTTGCGGAGGATTACTCTCCTTGTTGAATGAGGGTTTGAAGAGGAAGAGCTCGGCTCCGAGGATTCGCGGCGATCTTCCGGAAGGATTTGATTAGAAGAAGAATTAATTGAAGAACTGGAAGACATTTTGAGCTCGGAAAAGTAGATTCGAAGGAGATCTAAGAAGGATGAAGAACAATTTGAAGATCAACCGGAAAAGATTGAAGATTGATCGGAGAATTTGAAGATCGAACGGGAAATTTGAAGATTGATCGGAAAAATTGAGGGTTTGCGGCGGCAGAAGTTGAAGAAACGAGAGAGAACTACGAATAAAAAACTAGAGAGAGAAACAAAAATCTAGAGAGAAGGGAGAGCAGTGTACCTTATATATGCTTGAACGAGAGTAATGAATGTGAGGAGAAGTATTTCCCTTATAAACAGTGGGAATCGTGGTTCCTCGATTTTCGCGAAGATCCCGGAATTCACGCGCCTCATTGAAGACAGGGTGTGAAACGTCCGGGAATGTGAATCGATTGCAGTTACCGATCTCAGTTTGTGACTTACTTTGAATCAAATGAGTTCGACTAAAGCCACTTCCTTTCATCGAACTGAGGGGGGGCTAACTGTTGGAGGTGAAAACCGCACCCCGGTTTTCTCCGGTACAAACCGAGATCGGCATAACATAAGCCCGGTTCACAAAGGAATGTACCAGGAAGACTGGGCCGAGTAAAATCTTGGGCCGAACGCAGCCCATTAAGCCAAGGTCGGCGAGAAGCTTCTCGAAGGAACCGAGGAGTTTCCCGAGTTCGGTCGAGAATAGGAAAGTTGCCTAAAAGAAAAAGGAAATTGCTACGAGAAAAGGAAAAGGACCGAGAGAAAAGGAAAGTCCTCTCGGTCCCATATCCCTGAAGATGCTCTCGATGACCGACTCAGAGGATATATATGAAGGAAGATGAATCGACACTAGAGAACAAAATATATTCCAGAGAAGACTTAGAGACTGAGAACTCATTACGCTAGATTCTTAGTTTCATAAAGTCTTAGTTCGTTGTTATATGCTTAACTACCGAACTCAGTTGTATTCTCTCGATTCGATCTAATAAAAACCGAGTTTGCCGATCTAAAGTATTATTTTACCCCTTGTCGATATTCACTTATCAACAAAAATGATTAAAAAGAAATCTCGGGAAAACTACAAACAGGCTTGACAGCAGCAGCAACGGCATCGATCTTCACCTTAGATCGGTTGGTGGGCCATGGAGATGATGACACTTCAAGGGAAGAAGAAAAACATAAAGACTTTGAAGCGGAAGTTGCTACGTCTCGTCTTGATAGTTGACGCAGAGAATATTTTTTTTTTAATACTTACCTCAATTTTAAGTTGACACGTGTCGTTCTCTCCAGTGCTGACGTGTCATGCAGCTGGAGAGAGTTGAGTACGTTTTATATATACTAGGTGAATACCCGCACGTTACGTGCGGGTTTTTCTGTTCAAAATTTTCAAACTTATTTGTTAATATTTTATTCTAAAAAATTATAAAATATTAATACATATTGAATATTATTTAATAATTTAAAGTTATATTAAAATTAATAAATATCATTCAATATTTTTAATTAGTTATAATATAAATCTTTGTTTAACATTTACAGAAATATTAATTGATAGTCAATTAATTTTAAAAATAAAATTAATATAATCATCATTTCATTTGTTACTTGTCAGTATTTTACTATAAATAATTTTAAAAAATTAATTTAAAATATATCTTGAATATTATTAAATAATCTAAATATTATTAAGTAATCTACAATTATATAAAAATTAAATACATATCTATCAATATTTTTAATTAGTTATAGCATAAATTTTTGTTTAACATCTTTAATTAAGAGTCAATTAATAAAACAAATTTTTCATATTCTTTAAGTGTTTTAAAATTTAATATTAAAATTTATTAATTAAAATTTAAGCACAGACGTCAACCTATCCCATGCTGATATTGAGCAACTTTTATATGTACTAGGTGAATGTCCGTGCTACGCGCGGATTGTTTTTGTAATTTATTGATCATTTTTTTAAATTCTGTATTTTAGTTGAAAGTAACCTTTTGAAAGCTGAAAAGCAAGATAGTATTTTAGAACGAATAACAGATGAGGTCAAAAAAAAAAAAAAAAACGAATAATAGATTATTTCTTGGAACAGAAGTAATTAATTGTAATTGTTAATATATTATTTGAGGCAATAGAACTTGTTAAAAATTTAGATAAGATGTTATTAGAGTTTCCTTTGTTTTAATTGAATTTCATAAATTTCTTTTTTTTTGTTTTTTTAATGATCATGTCTGTTTTTTTTTAGTTCTTTTGGTTTTTCTATTAAAATCATCTCCTGTTTTAATCATTGAAAATAAACAAACATTCATGTGTTTTGATGTGTACATGTCTTAAGTCGGTACATGTCTTAAGTCGGTTTTCTGTTATTTCATGTTCAAGCCTCCTGTTCTTTAATAACATCATTAATTTTGGTCTGTTTTTTTTTAAGTCAATTGAAGTACTTTTTTTGGTTTGAAGATCAACTAAGGTATTTAGCCATATCTTATATATCATTTAGAGTAACCAAAATGACAAGTTTAGAAAAGCGGAGCAGAGGTGTCAGTAAGCAGTGTATTCTCAAGCTGCACATCATGGCGTAATTGAATCACAGAATAAAAAGTGAGGAGAAGTTATGGCGTCAGTTCCTGTGGTGCAACATACGTAATTTATGAAATAAGATTGGAAACGATCATTTGCTATCTCCCCACAAATAGCATCAACAGTGGCAGCTAAGTTTCTATATGATTTACAGTAAGATAAATATGTATCACACAGTCGTAAACCACGTCAGAACATCCAAACATCTAATTTCCAAATCTAAAGCAAAGAATCCAAGTCAAGAAAACGTTGATAGTTCTCCAATCACCACAGATGCCTTGCCAGGCACATAACTTTACTTTTTCAGCTTAATGAATATTGAGAAAGCCATATACATACCAAGGAGTGGCAGTAGTGGACACTGCAAATCGGCTGGTGGAAGAAGCACCTAGCGTGAGAAGATAAAGATTGTAAACAAAAACTTATACATAGTGATCAAAAATCAAAATATATTAAAAATTGGACGAAGACGGATGGATCCAGCTCCAAGACTTGAGATGGAGAAAATGAAGGCTGTAAGTAGGAAAGAAAATGTGTCAAATAGAAATCATACTCTATAGTATAGAGCACCACAATGACCAATAAAATGTGTTATTATCTCTTGGTTCTGTTTAACGATATATCTCATTGTTTTCTAAAAATGATTTCAATATATCCATGATCAATATATATATATATATATATATATGTATGTAGATGATAGATCTCATTGTTATTTGGAAATGAGCTCAATATACCCATGATCAACTGGATCAGAAAAGATTATTAACTGTAAGTATGAAAATGGAAAAGCTTGTTGAAGAAAATAATATTGAATATGACCGTAGGAAAAAGTTGTCCAAAAGTTGGAATGAAAATAAGAAACAGCTTACCGAGAAAGTCGATACGGTCAGCAATCATACAACTCTGATATACAATAACAGCAGTAAATCTTTTGTTGTATCTTCCCCTCAAAGCATCATTATCTTCTCCGGCTGACTCTACTGGTGGTAGGTCTACTTCTTGGTAACATCATTTCGAACAAAGTGTTTTGCACTTGCAATCACGTTGTTTCTATCACAAGTAGTGAACTAATCCATGAGAAGTGACATCATAGCTGTTAAAAGGCACATATGAAGCCATATACATACCCACCTGCAACAAAATGGTAACCGTTTGAGTTTTCTTCGGGTGGGACGCCTTTTACTCCTGAAACAAGCGAGGCTGGCCTCACAGACAAGTCCACCATCATAACTGTCATAGCTTTGTTCCCATCTGAGATCTCTGTATACCTTTAGGAAGAACAAAGTAACAAAACGTTATAAATAAAAAAAAAAAAGTAACAAAACGTTCGAGTCAATAATTACAAGTCACGATGTTTCAATATCGTTATGGGAATTACGTATACAAAAGTGACTTACAGCCTCGTAGGAAGCAAACGCCCAGTGAACTCCACTCCGCCTTACTCCAAGTTCAGTTGCGGTTACGATTCTTCTGACCAAATCTGCGCTCTACAGAGTGACGACAAGAACCAACAGTGTTATCACAATAAGAGCAACCTACACGCAGCACGGCACCAATAGAAGAACCGATCTTAGACCAAAACAGATTCTAATGACAGCCACTTCAATACTACTACGACCCTGTAATCAGAAGCTAATTGAAGCAAAGTTAGGATTACGAGGTGGATCCAAATCAGGTTAGTAGGTTCGTGTGAATGTCCTATACAAGGCAAGGATCATCAGAAAAACAAAAACAGTAAAATTCAGCCTAAACCATTACAATTATAGAGCTTAAACTATAAACAATTCTGAATTATCGGATTGTAAAGGTTCTCAGACCTTAATTTCCAGGTTCAGTTCATGTAAAAGGGAATGGTAATCAGGATATAAAAAAACCTGGTCGCTCCGAGTCCGATGTTGTGGGGGAAAACGGTGGCCCCCAAACGCCATTGACAATCGCCTTTAAACCTTGGAGCCTAAAAGCGGCATGGTCGTAAGCTCCAACGATCAATCTTGCCAACAATAACCCTAGGACGAAGCAGAGCGAATGGAAAGCAAAATGAGAGGCTCGAGATCCAGAACGGCGGAGGCAGAGAATTTTAAAATTACCTTGATAGATTCATTGGCAATACTCAATGTGAAATAGACCTGTGTCATACTCAGTCCCTAAGAACAAAAATACCTGAGAATGATCTATATAAGCACTCCCCCATAATTGTTGCATTTGTGGTGAACCCAGAAACGATGTTACAAGATTTCGTTGAAATGGATTATGAATGCCAAAAACACTTTACCAGCACAATCTCTTTCTTGAGTCTAAAGCCGCTTACTTTGCTTGTGGCTTCCATGGAAGAGAGGCAAAGTTGACAAGACCCAATCTCCCACTCATTTGTATCAATATTTCTCCTGGTAGATTTAAAGTACGAATGGTCAGATGAGAAGAGTAAAACGAATTGATTTCGTATAAATGAAGGTTTAGGGTAGAAGAGCAAACGCAGGAAAAAATTAATGTCGACAGTAAATTCAAAACTAAAAACTAAAGAGAGGAAGACAAGAAGGCATGAGTAGTGAACATTAAACTATAAAAGAAGACACGTGGCACTCTCACAGATGCTGACGTGTCGTAAAATTGGTTGGAGAGAGTTCAGCACGTTTTATAGTATAGATAAGATATCAAAGTCTTCATTTGGTTAATAATTGAGATTAGTTGTTGTGCAGCTGGCTCACTACAATAATTGTGGCGACCACTACGACACATTTTTTTTTTTTGTAATATATATACAGTACTAGTAACTTAAAGATAATACATAAGATTGTTTGGCAATTTTAACTTAAAAAAATTATTAAAAATTGATTGCCAGCAACACACAGAAGGTATTATACTCGGTAGATTTGCATAAGGTCTGCACGTTTTTGGGAAATTTCAAGATCAAATAGACTTATATTGATTACAATTTTAAATCAATGAGGTATATTTCATTTTTCCTTTTTTAAATGTGAAGTCGCAAACTGAAAAGTTTTTGGGGGTAAACTACTAAACTTACTTAAATCTACACATTCTTGCAGACTTTAAAAACCTATCGGGCATACATGTAGCCTTGTATTTACTCTATAAAGACTCTATACTCGATAGACTTGCGCAAATTCTGCATGTTTTGGTAGATTTCAAAAGCCAAATCTGACTGACTCATATTTCGTTTACAACAACTTGCCAAACTTACATAAAGTCTACATTTTTTTTTTTTGCGGACTTCAAAAAACCTATACTTACGGGCCGGCAGACATATATTTAGTGTGCAGAGTATTAACAAACTTACGTAAAGTTTGCATATTCTGGTAGGCCTACTTTAATCTGTAAAGATTTGATAAACTTGTCTAAAATATATAAGTTTTTTGTTGCAGATGTCAAAAACATATCCGACAGATTAATTTATATTTAGTTGGTTAGTCTGTACATCAAAACTCAGTTCGATGAAAAAAACAAATGATCACCATCCCAAATGACATCTAAATCATCAATCTCAGCCTTCTCCGCATTGGTGATCTTAGTGAAGTTGCATTCTCCAAACTTTTCACCTGCATAATTCCCAATTTATTCGACGGTTATAAACTTTCTTTTTTTAGAAAGACGAGTTTCTTCTTTATTTTGAGTATTTTTCAGTGCTTACCTGCAAGTCTTAGAAGCTCTTGTATGGATGAAGGTAACAGTATCAACTTCCCATTCTGTCGCTGTGATAGATCATTCTGATCTTGTGACAACATGTGAATAGTAACTCTCTTACCTTTTCCTTTGCATGGCTTGATTTGGATGCTGGAGCTGCAATATTGATCTGAATCGTAATTATAACTTCTTTCTTTGGTTTCGCTATTGGATCTTTCCCCTTTTGCTTTCTCTGACTTGTAGTCTTCAGTTCTTCTCATTTCATAACTTAGCAAGATATCAGATATGCTTTTCTTTCCTTGTTGTTCTGCAAGAGCCTTTGGTTTCTCTATGTTAATTCTTCCTTCAAGTAGCTTCTTAACCATTTCAGTATCTCCTTTGTGAATTGCATCTATTAGAGCCTCTTCTCCATTTTCTGAAGCCGAATCTGTAACATCTAAACTTTTGCCATCTTTTCTTGATTCTCTCCTCCATTCTTCCCATCCCATTCTTTGGAAATCTATGTTTCTTTGATCGTTATTTGTATCCTCTATTGGTATCGACTGTTGTCCTCTAAGTTTCTGCAAGTTTTGTAACAAAAACATGAGTCTTTAACTATATAAATCATTTTCAAGAATATGTTTTTAAAATCACATACCATGAAGAGGTTGTTCATTATAACTCTTCCATCTTCAGCATGAGCGTGCATCGCACTCATCAGCGATGTTCTACTTATGCGTAGTATTTGCGATAGCTCGGTTGTTCTTACCGTGAAAGGTTGTGGTCTATAGCATAAAACTCCAATCTCTCCAAAGGTATCTCCAATAACTGCTTTCCCTTGAATCTGATCATGTCCATCAACACAGGCTGTGAAGTCCTGTAACAAATTCAATATTACACAATGTTAGAAGGCACTTTACTTTATTGATATTTCTATGCCATTAAATGCATTTTCACAGATATCTGATTATAATTCTCTTACCACTGCTCCGGAGACTAGAATGTAAAGATCCATAGGCGCTTCGTTTTGTAAAATTACATCTTCTTTAGGTGGGAAATACTCAGCATCTATATCTAAAACCTTGAACAGGTAAAAAAAAACAAAAGGGTAACTTCATGAAACCTCTTAGGTGTTGAATTGAAAGGAAAATTAGAGAAACTAATTCTTTTTTACCAATTGAAAGAGGAAGTCACGAGAAACTCCTTGAAAGAGGTAAATGTTTTGAACAATTGGGAAGAAGAGGTAGTTTGCAATGCTTGAACGGATTGCTTTTGGCAGGTTGTTCAATGTTTCTTGCTGTTTCAAGCCCTCTGTTTTGAACTTCAAGCAAATGTGTGATAACATCTGGTCTTGTATGTCATGTGGAAGTTGGTTTCTTGAAGCAAACTCTAAAGCAGCTCTCACTGTATCTCTCTGTTTGAACATAAACATGAACAATAAGCGTTCTGATCAAGCTTAGATCAAAAGAAATGAACAAGCCTAGATTAAAAGAATGTGATCGAACTTACAAAGGTTCTGGTTCGGCTAGTCCAGTGAACGACGAGGTTGGTCATATTTCCAATGAGGTAAGCTGTTAAACCGAGGTTGAACATCATGAAGAAAATGTCAAACAACATTTCTCTTGGGTTCTGAGGATGCAAATCACCATATCCAGTGGTCGTTAATGTTGTAATTGACCAGTAAAGAGAAGTCACATATCTAAACCAGAGGCTTGCTTTCTTGAAATCTGGATACACAGATCCAATCCATGTCTTTCTTGGATCAGGGTATCTATCCGCAATCAGGTAGTTGAAACAGCCAGCAAAATGTACAACGAATAAAGTGACCTGGGATCAAAAAGCTCATGTAAGTTTCTAATTACATTAACTATCATCATCCTTTATAGAAATGATTTTTTTTTTTAAGGTTTGCATACCTAGTCACTTTTTTATATTTTCATTAGTGTTGTAACACTTTTTAAAAGGATGATGTTCATTACAATTTTAGCACTTAATGAGCTCTTCATTACAATTTTATCTCTGTTACAGAACGGTGTGTAACTTTCATCAGAAAATGCCAATTTTTTTACTAAGCTGTTTTATATATTGGTAACCAATTTTTTTACTAAGCACAGTCTTTTCGTATATTCGTAGTTAATAGCAAATATGTATTTTTTTTACTAAAACATGTAGAATATTGCTTTGTATTAGTGCTACTACTATGTCATAATCCGGGTCCAAACTTGAAGAGTGTGCGTGTGTGAGTTATAGACGACAAAAACCATAAAATAGAAATTCATTTTTTTCTCTGTTTTGGAACTTACCGAAATGAGTTTTGTGCATCGAATCCAGAAATAGTTGAAACGGATGTCTTTCTCAAGCCTGAAGCAAAACAAAAGCGTTCAAAGATGAGCAAAGCACTTTCTTTATTAAACCCTAAGAACAATATATGGTCTCTTGGCATTAAAACGAACCTTGCGAACAACGAGCTAACTCGTCTGAGACGCCATAACCTGAGCATGCTAAGGATTCTAAATCCTAGCTCGCTTCCATTGTAGTTAAACAGTAGGCTAAGTGGCTGAAACGGTGCCGTTGAACACACGTCGAAGGCGAACCATGTAGAAAGGTACCTGAAAATGTTACATTTTAAAACATATATCTTGAGAACCTGATTCACAGATTTAGCATGTAAGTAAAAAATGACACTTTTTGCTATTTTCTCACCTTATTGCTATTTTCTTAGGATTGTCAACTAGAAGATAGGAGTGGCTATCGAGATAAGCGACAAAGAAGGTGAGGACAATATCAATGGCGAAGAAGCCATTGACGATGTTATCGATGATAAAAATCGCATCTTTTTTGTAAGTGATGAAGGCAAATTGAAACGGACAAATCCAAGCTGAGTAAATAACTAGAACGACTAGCCACATCTCCCATGCTCTGTTTCAAACATAAGCATATGAAAACAGAGGATTTCAAAAAACAGAACATGATCAAGTTAGTTAAAAGAGTTTAGAAATGAGGAAAAGTACCTATATTGTGGATTGAAAGGAGAGATTATGTGTTTACGGAGCTTAGTTGATTGGTTAATTCTGGCTCCAAGAGATGGTAAAAGATCAGAAGAGAGGAAACTACTCTGTTTTACAGTGTCGATATTGTATCCTTCAACACAGAATCTGTCGAAGAAACTTCGGGTACAAGAAATCGACATCTTTTTTTCTCTTTCTTTCTCGATGTTTTGGTAAGAAGAAAAAAAAACTGTTACGTGAAAGGCTCTTTTATAGGTTTAAGGCTTTCTTCTTGGCAAGGTAGTTATAGATAGTGATGAAGCTTGTGATGAATGACACGAGAAAGTTCTCTTCTTGTTGGGACCTTTATGTCAACTTGCTCTGACCCAATTGCTTATCTTTTCTCTGAGAAAATAAAGAATTTTGCAGGAAACGGTTTAGGGTTTAAGCAGAGACTCAGTGCGCCATTAACGCTGCAAAAACCAAATAATGGTTTAAATGCGTGAAGCAGCAATGGTGAACAAGAAGCGGAAAACACGGAACAGAGTAGTGTGTGATATCAAAAGATCTTAAGAGATGAGACAGAATTTAAGTGGAAAACATTGAGCTTTTGTGGAAGAAATGGTCATGGTTTCTTTCTTTTGGCAGGAAACAGATTCCAAATACAACAACATAAAGAAGAAGAAGAAGAAGAAGAGTAGACGCAATATGGTTTTGGAGATTTCTTTCTACTTGATGAGATTTATGACTGTTGTGTGAAACCCACTTTCTCAGCATTTGAAGGTGGGAGTGATATATAGACATATACACATACACACATATAGAAAGAAGGTACATTTTGGTGTTTGGTGTGTGTTAATGGGAGGACAAAAATGGGCATGAAAATATATGGTGTGTTCATTTCAGGAATCCAGAAATGGACCAAGGCAAAAATAAAGAAAGAAAATGGCCTTTGACAGAATATTTAAGGGGCCAGAGTATTTTCTTTCAAGAAAAACATTATTTTTTTTTTCCTTCTACTATTCTTTTAAGTGTATATCTTCGCTTTTTCCTTTCATCCTCAAAATCAATTATTAGTTTACGGCAATGATTAAAAATTCATTACACGCTAATCGGATGTTTGGACATGGCATATCGCCTAACCTAAACAAGTTACATAAAAAATCAATCTAAGATTTATGTTGATGTTAAAATTAAGTTTACATTAAGTTTGTAACGTTAAATATATTTTTCTCATAAAATATTTTTTTAGTATTTTTGTATACAAAAATTATTATTATTGTTATTATTATAAAGAAAATTAATTGGGGGTCTAATTAACAACAAATTGTTGACTTCCAATGATCAATTTTTAACTCAAATCCAAACATTTAGATGGTTTTGACGGCCAAGTTTGTAGAGCATACGTTTAGGGTAATTATTAGTTTATGTTATATACTCTTAAATCATTTTATGTTGGAGGGAGAGAAACTCATACTCTTTTTACATGTAACAGCTTCTAGAAGCCACATGAATACCTCTTTTATAGTATGAAACTATTGAAACCACACGAACCTGTTAGGCTATAGCGAGTCTCCACGTAGTGAAGCCGAATCTAGCTAGTTAACATGATGTATGAATGATTACAAAAAAGTCCTTAGCCCTAAAGAAAATATAAGTCTGTTTATAGAGAGAAAAACAAACATATTCGTACACGAATATTGATTTTTTTGGTAATTCTAGTTATTTGACTAAACTTTTGTTTTCGTTCGCTAATGAAGAATGCCAAGTATAAATTCTCCAAACCTTTTCGCCAAAATTGTTTATTAAATCGTTCCAATCTTTTCTTTTGCGTTCGAATGTATCTTTCATGATTCCTTATTGAATTTTTGTTTGCTGCCTCTGACGTAGGAAAATTGAAAAATTACAACTAAAATTGGAAATTATTAGATATCCAAAATCAAATCTTAAAATTTTAATATTTATAATGTACTCTACTTTTACCATATATATTTTTTCCGATTTTTTTTCTAACTTAACAAGAAAGACCAGAAGATTGTATGTTCTGATATTAGGAAAAAAACTCATAACTCATATTACATACATGTTCTGATCGTTGGTTTGGAACTTCAGCCCAAAACCTTAAAAAAAAAAAAAAAAAAAAAAACCAGGAAATCGATAACAGATAGTTTGCCACTTGCTGCTTCCTAGTGCAAGTAGGGTCATTAATGTTAACGACTTTATTAATTCGGTTAAGTTGTCACATGCTAAGAGTGATGTAGGGTCCAAAAAATTGTTAGTTATTTTTGAAAGATTTAGTTGTGGGCCATATGTCTTCCAATGGGTTTGACTAAACCGGTTTTACATATGTCTTAAAACATAAGTGGAGCTGAGTTTCATTCAACATCATCGAACTCGACTCAGAGCCGGATCTGAGATTTTGGGGGCTTGAAACAAAATAAAAAATGGGGGTCGCTATTTTTTTTATAAAAAAAAATTTAGATAAAAAAAACTTTTAAAAGTGCGAACGTACTAATATTAATGATACACAAGTAATCCAAAAAAAAACTAATAGCAATCTATGGATTTCGAAAAATAAGTCTTCTTATATTTTTCTCCGCAAAATCATTTATCAAACTTTGGTAGTCAAGCTTTCCAACCATATCTCTCTCAATTGACAACATTGCCAAACCATTCAATCTTTCCTCTGACATAGTTGACCGCAAGTAAGACTTTATTAACTTCAGCTTGGAAAACTTCTTTCAGCCGAAGCAGCAGAAACTGGAATAGTTAGCATCACTCTATATGCAATCCACGTATTTGGATAACCATGACCTTCAAATCTTCTTAAAAAATCTAACACTTCAACAGCTTTCTTGATCTCACTTGGCAAAACATTTCTTAGAATTTTGATCTCTAGATATAAATGATATCCATCAATGTCTGAATTGGCACCATGTTTAAGAGAAGATTTAAGGTTGATACATTTTGCCTTCAAACTATCATCCGTTGCCGATTTGAGCTTATGTAAATCAAACAAAAATCCAAAAGTTTTTTCATACTCTTCAAATTGTTCAAACCTTATTTGAAGAGATACTATAGCTTGATCCACGATTCTCAAGAAATAATCAATCTCTTTCTCACTTAGCATCTCAGATTCATCATCTCTTTCTACTGCTTCATCAAAATGCTTCTTCCTTTTAATAATGCGCTTTCATTTCACTGAAAAGTCTGGTTCGATATCCATAGACTCTGCAATAATCTTAGCTTCTGCTTTTGCTTTTTCAAATCCAGTTTCTCTATAGTTTTTCAGAAACGATACTAACCCTTTCAATTGAACAATAGCATTATCAATATCAATATGCTCTGATTGCATCATCTTACTTACGGCATTGACGGCGAACAGAAGATCATACCAAATAACCATACCAAATAAGAACTCAAACCCTCCAATTCCATGAGTTTCGCTTGTGGTAAGAGCTTCAGCATCGCTACGAGCTCCAGGATCATCACAGTTTTCTGCCAAGTAATCCAAAGCATCTCTTATTTTTGGAGCTTGAAATCGAATTGCTCGAACACTTTCAACGCGACTTTCCCAACGAGTTTCTGATAGTGACTTAAGTGTGAGACCTCCTACCATCTGCTTAAATAGCTCCCACCTATTTGAAGATGATGAAAACAAACAATATATCCGTTGAATGATTCCAAAGAAAGCAATCGCTTTTGAAGATGATTTAGCCATATCAGAAAGTGCCAAGTTAAGACTATGACAACCACAAGGTGTATAAAATGCTCTTGAATTGATGTCAAGCAATCTTTTTTGTACTCCTTTGTGTTTTCCCTTCATATTAGATCCATTGTCGTAGCCTTGCCCTCTCACATCATCAATACTCAAATTAAGACCAACCAATGTCGAACAAAGCAACTCAAAAAACCCTTCTCCAGATTTATCTGCAACTTCTAAGAATGTCACAAAAAACTCTTCAACTTGTGTTTTAGCCATGGAGACATCCACACATCTGATAATAAGACTCATTTGTTCTTTATGACTCTTATCTGGAGTGCAATCGAGAATAACCAAGAAATATTTAGCTTCTTGAATTTTGTTGATGATCATAGATTTGACTTCAGACCCTAGCATAACAATCAACTCATCCTGAATAGTGTGGCTTAAATAGTGATAATGAATCTCACCTCCTTTAACCCGTCTGATATGCTCTCGCATGACTGGATCAAAATCTCCAAATGATTCAATAAAACTCAGAAAGTTTCCATTGTTTCTTTGACCAAGCTTTTCATTAGTCCCACGAAAAGCTAAATTTTGTTTAGCAAGAGTTGTCACCAATGAAAATATTCTCAACAAAACCTCTCTCCAATGGGTTTTCTCTTTATTAATTTCTTCTTGGAGACCCTTATCAATCGTCTGATTCTTCTTTAGCCTAAATTCTAATTCCATCTACCGACTCATACACCAAATATGGTAGTGACTAGTTTCATGTTGACTCAGTCGTATCTTGATATTCTTCCAATCATTGAACCCCTTGCTTGACAACTGATTAGCATCTTGATCTCGACCAAACAACTTGCAGCAAAAACAATATGCTCGATCTGATACTTTTGAATAAAGTAGCCAATGCTGGAGCATATATTTTATTTATACAGAAAAGTTAGAAGTTCTTTTCACTCAATTGTCGATGTGAGATTTTGAAAAAACTGTTTTCTTTAACTTTTTTTTTCTGGGTCTGGTCGAAGTGGGCCTAAATGTTTGAGCTGAATTTTTTTTTTTTTAGTTTTTATGGACTGAATACAAAATTAATGGGCTGAATTTTAGTCAAAAAATATGGGGGTCTGAAGCAAATGTTTCACTAGGCTTTGCCCAAATCCGGCCCTGACTCGACTAATTCAATTTTGAGGATAATAAAAGCTGGACCAACATCAGTTGGTATAGAACTAGTGAGTTGGACCGAATTATCAAAGGTTGTTGTTTTACTAATTCGATGGTAACTACGAATTGATCTGTATATATTAGGTATAGTCTAAAACATTAGTGTCTGTTATAAAAACGAAACGATCATGTGGAACCATATTGGTCTCCGGTTGGTATAAGAGTGATGAATTGGACCAAAGCGGTTAAACATTTTTTTAACCTTTAAATTTGATGGTTTTATTGATCTGTAAAACAATAGGGTCTGTTTTCGATTGGTCTTTTTAGAAACAACCAGATTGAACCATGCTGGTCTATTCCACTACAAAATAATATTGTTATCTAAAAAATCCTGATTTTTTCCTTGGGATAGAGTACCCCACATTTATTGCAAATTAATATTGAATCCAATACTAGATAACAGATATAGACATTTTCCAATAAATCTTCCATTATATTAAAAGTCAACTATTGTATTCTAAACCCTTCTCATTACCATTTGACTACAATACTTTTAACGTCTATAATATAACAATGATGAAGATATGTAGTGTACTAGTTTTTGTTAGTGTCAATGTTTATATTCGAGACCCGAATGTTTAGTTATGATCCGTTAATTGTCTGAAAAAAAAGATCAAAAAAAGAAAGTTATAACCAAATCTCTCCCCTGCTCTACTTTTTCCTTTTTACTGGAAAACCAGAAATTGTATTAATATTACAACTATTAACAAAAAGTAAAACCAAAAAGGATGAAAATAAAAAGATAAAACTAATAAAATTCGGGACCTTTAAAGAGAGAAATGCCATGTGTCCAACAAACATATATCTTTGTACAGC